ACGTCAGGAATAGAGGAGACGATTGTTTGAGGTTAGCTATCAGGTCAGCCTTGTTTCCAGCTGACACTAATTCGAACAGGCCTTCTAGTTATCCCCAAGACGATGGCCTCAACTGGGATGGTATAGATGAACCCACCCCCATATCCCAGATAACTAAAATAGAAAACAGAATAATCTAGCTATAAATGTCTTTGGGCACGAAGGTAACACAACAATAGTGCACAGGGTCAGCCTCAGTGTTGGGGGACCCCAAGTGTTGGGGAAACCCCCTTATCAATATATATTCATGATCCAGCGAGGTGACAAGTACCACTACGCTTTGGATAAAACACTTTAGCAGGCTGTTGTATGACCAATCGGCACACAGAGAAAAGACCCACTTCTGCGAACGGTGCCTACATGGCTTCACAATAACGAGCTGATTTTATTAGAATCCCACCGGGAGGATTGCCAAGGTGTAGGGCAGACGGCTATACGAAGCTGACATGCCTAAAGAAGGTGACAATATCCTAAAATTCGGTAACCACAAGAACCAAAATGTTCGTGCCTTATATCATATACGCCGACTTTGAAGCCTTGGTTAAAAGTTGTTGGGATACCCCATTGCGGCGGGCTCCCCACAGGTGAGAGCTTCACCCACAAAACATGATAAGAGCATGAAGCCTGTGGTTTTGATACATTGTCGTCCGTTGTGATGGGGAAACGAAAGCTCCCGTAGTGTATAGGGGCCCTGACGCTGGGCTGAAAGGTTTCTAAAGTGTTTGCAGGAGGAAGAAAAAATTATTAGGAATGCACTGTATAGAGTCGCTCCAATGCGTATGACCCGAGCCGACAGGCTAGCTCACGCCTGTAGCACTAACTGTCACGTGTGTGACTCACCACTCGAATGGTGATTCGGTGAGAGATCACTGCCACGTAACCGGTAAGTATAGAGGCGCGGCTCACAGCACGTGTAACCTCAAGCTTAGAATCAACCCTAAGACAATAAACATCCCTGTTGTCTTTCACAACTTGAGAGGGTACGACTTCACTTAATCATGCAGGCCATCGCGAAAATCGATGGTAATATAACGTGCATCCCCAACAACATGGAGAGAGATACATCTCCTTCAGCTTAAAACGGCCTTAGGTTCATAGATTCAGTACAATTTCTATTGTCTTCATTAGACAGTCTGGTCAAGGCCAACGATACCTTCCCATCACCCGACCGATACACAGACACCGGAGACTAGACCCCTGCTTTATGAGGAAGGGTGTACCTCTAATGAGTACATGGATAGTTGGGTCAAGTTCACCGAGACCAGACTACCCCCATCAGAGAATTTTACAGCAATCTGACAGACTCGGAAATATCCCAAGATGATTACTCACATGCTATTAATGTATGGAATAAACCTGGGTTGTAAGAACCTGGGGATTATCATGACCTGTACTTGAGGACAGATGTACTGTTGTTAGCCGACGTGTTTGAGATTTGAGACGTTTAGGCTAGACATGTTTCGCTGCAGCATAAACTCGACCCTGCGCTGGTATTACACCAGCCCAGGTCTGTCGGGATGCCTTGCTTAAAAAAAGACCGGAGTTAAGTTGGAATTGCTTACAGATTGCGACATGCACCTATTCATTGAGAAAGGCTTTGCGAGGTGGGGATCTCCATGGCAACCAAGCCGAGCACGCCGAAGCAAATAATCAATACGCTAAGGGCTACCGACCCTAGCAAGCCAACCAATCACATTCTCTACCTCGACGCCAACAACCTGTATGGCTGGGCCATGAGCCAGTATCTACCCACAGGGGGTTCCTGAAATGGGCGTCACAGGAGGTCGATGTTATGAGCATCGCACCAGATTCGAATAAAGGTTATATCCTCGAGGTTGACTTGGAATACCCCAAGGCATTACACACATCACACAACAGCTACCCCTGGCCCCCGAACGTATGAGGGTTAACCCAGACTGGATGTCTGGAATACCAACATAACTTGTTAGGTGGGCGGTGGACAGACGTTGAAAAACTCGTGCCCAACTTAATGAATAAGACCAAGTACATCGTTCACTATCAGAACCTACAGCTGTACCTGTCGTTGGGTATGAGGCTGACCAAAATACACAGGGTGCTCGTGTTCACCCAGAGCCCCTGGATGGAGCCTTTACATCAGAATGAACACAGACCTCCGAAAGCTTGCCACCAGTGACTTTGAGGAAAAATCTCTATAAGCTCATGAACAACTCGGTGTTTGGTAAGACTATGGAGAACCTATCCTGAGGAAACGCCGTGACCGCGGAAGCTGGTTCGTCGAATGAGGAAGACAAGCTCAGGAGACTGATAGCCAGTCCTGCATTCAACCGTAGCAAAATATTCACCGATGACCTAGTTGCCCTACACATGAAGAAAAGCCGCATAAAATTCAACCGGCCTGTTTATTGGGATGAGCATCCTCGATTTATCCAAACACCTGATGTACGACTTTTACTACAACGAGCTCAAGAAACAGTACGACGACAGGTGTGAAGTTCTGTACACTGGCACGGGATTCCTGCTGATGGAGATTCGAACCGAGGACGTGTACAAGGACATAGAAAAAACCACTCGATTTGTATGACACCAGCGACTACCCTAAGGGCCATGCCATACACAGTACGGTAAATAAAAAGGTCCTAGGTAAGATGAAGGACGAGTGTGCTGGCACGCCCACAGCCGAGTACATAGGGTTGAGGCCTAAGATGTACTCCATACTGAAAGGCCGACAATGGTGAAATCCGAAGGCTAAGGGTGTTAAGAAGTATGTGGTGAAACAACACATCAAACACGCCAGATTCAAGGAAGCCCTGTTCAAGACCCGTACCTTTAGGCATAAAAAATGAACACGCTTAGAAGTGATGGGCATAAGATACGGACTGACTATAAACAAGACGTCCCTGTCACCTATGGACACTAAACGTTGATAGCTATTGATGGGATAAAACACGCACGCGTATGGGCATGAGAAAATTCGAACCAAGACATGTCACGAAACCAGAGAAAGTTTGAGGCTATTTACTACAGCCCGCGTGGGTACTGGAAAGGAGCTAGTGCTGTAGATAAGCTTAGCTAAAATGGCGCGGAAGTACCCCCGAGGAGGCCAAAGCGTGGCTTGAAAACAAGCCCTGTGGCAGATCTATTTACCGGCACCACGCTACGTGCCTAGAAGGAGGGTTCGGTATTAACATTACCTAATAGCGCCTCACCAGGCAGACCTACTGTTCCTACCCCACGACAAGAGGTACAGGTATGCCTTAACCAGAGTGGACGTAGCCAGTCGCTACTAAAGGAAGCCGGGAACCCTTGACCGCTTGAAAGATTCGCCCAGGTAGCCAGAGGATTCGAACGCATATACAAACGCAGTCCGCTGACGTGGCCAACAGAGCTGCAAGTTGACCCGGACGGGAGTTCATGGGTGCCGTGTCACAACTGCTAGCCAAACACGATACAAAGGTCAGGCGTGGCACGGTCGGGCCCATCGCAGCCAAGCCATAGTTGAGAGATTTAATAGGACCTTTGGCTGAGCCGCATTATTCGCCATCAGTATGCGCGAGGGAGATGGTAACCCGGAAAACGCATCGACTGAATGGGTCAGCGAGGTTACCCAAGGTGGTGTCGGCAATCAACCATGAAGTCAAACCCGGCTCACTGATAAGAAACCGGCAGACGCTATCAAAACTAAAATCAATAGGTGTGCAGAGTCGGCTGCTCCATTGCGTGGGGAAGGAGAAACAGATACTCAGATAGGGCCCTAGTGAGGTATCTATACCAGCCGGGGAACACGAGGGTGATAGCCGTAAGCGAGCCACCGATCCTATATGGTCAGTCAAAACTACAACATAGATAAAGTGGACATCAAAGCAGACGAGCCAAACTTGTACTACTTGAGGATGGGCCAGGTAGGGGTTTGAGAGAAGAATTATTGGATCGTACCGCACGGGTACAGTGTTACCTCCAGCATAAAGCGGTGTCCCATTACTCAGCCATACCCCCGGTAGCGCGGCTAGGAGGTCCCCCAACTTTTGTAGTAGGGTAATGGCAGCCAAGAGCTAAAGGTCCGACCAAAGCCTTACTTGTAAGAAATAAGGCTTTGCAGAGGCTTTGGTTGAAAGTGATCCAGAACCGCTATCTGGCCCAAACTTTTTCATAGTAGGGAAATGGTAGCAAGGCTAAGGGCCGACAAAAGCCTTATTTACCAAATAAGGCTTTGCAGAGGCTTTGGTTGAAAGTGATCCAGGAGCCCCATTGTATATACTACTATCGTGCTGATGATAAGTAATTAAAGTAACAAACAATAATAATGAATTTGAACAATGATTATCTGTTAATAAAATACCAGCAGAACAAACATCTGCGGCGATACAGTCAATGTTAACAAAATGTAAAATATGGCAAAATCTAAGAGGGATATAAGACAAAACCGTTGTATAGAAGACTATCCTGACTATTTTAATTAGCAACAAAATTCTGTACATTTCTCTTTTTGACATCAATATAAACGTCTACTTAAATACCCCGTTTCACCATGAATCGTAGATGAAATAAACATGATACACTTATGTAGGGTAGGTTTTTGTAGATTCATATTTCATGTAAGGGATTTGGCTATCCAACAGCAATATATACTTCTGGTACTACTGCGTGATAATATATCATTTTATTGTAGCAAATCCGCGTAGGTGTATTCCCAAATATATTTTTCGTTTTTGACTGTATATATGGAGAATAATTTACTAGCCTAATTAATGTACTCTTTCGAAAAGTGTTAATGTTATACCCTTGCTGCACGGTAGTCTCTGCCTTTTCAGCCCAATGGTGCCAGTTGGTCAGGAATTAGGGTTTTGCTTTTCAGGAAATATCCACCAGAACATATTGAATCCAAACGCCATTCTTTTTTGTGAAGTGTCACATGTAGAGATTCAAATGCCCTTGAGGTCACTCGGTGCGAATTCGATGACAGAAATGTTAGCTTCTTGTTGTCATTTTGCAGCTATTTCTGATAATGCCCGCCTGTCTGGTTTCCCTGTTGGTCTAAGAGGGAAATTCTCCACCAGAACATAGTAGGCTGGTTTTGGCAGACATTTCATGTAAGAGAATCAGAAATAAACATTGGATCGCAGTAATCTTTGATCATCTTGGTGGTGACATCCATGTTTGGTTTGGGAATGATACAGGCACAGACTCTCATGATACAAGTCCCTTTGAAGAACGGGACCACCAAGACTTCAGAAACATAATGGACATGTTCTCAACTTCTTCAACCCAGGGATGGGTATATGATGTACTCTCCATGCATAATGGCATCTGATTGTCTTCCCTCGACAAAGAGACGCCCTTGCTCATCAGAAAATGTCCATCATTTGTTTTCAACCATCCGTCATCTGTAAAGGCTGCTTTTGAAGCTTCAGGATTGTTGATATATCCATGAACATACAGTAATCTCCACTAAGCAAAAACTTGTCCGTCCTTGTCTGGTCCAAGCTCTTCAAACTGTTCATCTACCACTTTCACCTCCATGTGACAGCTAATTCCAACCAGATTGTCTTCCCGAAGTCTTCCTCCTTCTCACACAAATATAGCTTGATACATACCCAACTTCTGTGAGTCCGTATGCAGATGAAACCAGGTTGCAGATCTTACCAACAAACTCAGAGCAATGTTTGGCTTAAAAGGTTGCCCTGTACAAATACACATTAATCTTTGAATCACATCATCTGAGAGTGTTGAATATTTGTTCTTTCTGCAAGTTTCTTTTCATGAAGGCACTGTAAGCTAGTGGAGTTGTACACCTTTTCCTTTCTTACTGCTTCCCAAGACAGCTGACACTGATCTCAAATACGAACCTCTTGTGTCGGACATCACCACCCAGGATGGCCATGGGTTCCATGAATACATAAGGTCCATCCCACATATCCAGGCTAAAGGTTCGATCACTTTACTCTATTCAGAACCGACCGCTTCTGACGCATGCTATCACGTAAAACTGCTAGGGAATGCACAGGATCGCAACCCTCGCTGCGTCTTTTTGAATTTTCTGCAGTTTGAAAAAGCCAATTTTGCAGGATTTGCCCACGCGACAAGCTAGTGTCTGTTATGGTAGTACCTGCTGCTTGGACTTGATCTCACCTTCCGGCAGAAAAACATCTCCAGGTGAATTACTTCCTCCCTTCACACCAACAGAGCTCCACCATTTCTATAGGTTAGGAGCATTTGCTTCGATTTTATTTTTGGAGTCCAGAACACTCAAAGATGGTTTGCAGAGAGATCCGGCACTTTGGGTACGATAATATTTGTCCCAATCAACGGACGACACAGGAATAGGTTGATCATCATGCAGCAGATCCCGTACCATCTGCCAACAGTGCCTGGGCGGTGGCAACCTTATACAACCAACCGTCATGAAGATGCCAAAATCAGTACATTCCGGGCCGTTCAGAGAGTTGGAGGGTGAGGTGTATTACAGACCACATCTCACCATTTTTAAGCCCGACGCTTTTAATAGAAATTCTGCGGCAAAATTCCCCAGTGCGGAAGGATGTGTACATCTTTACAAGTGAGAGCACGCCTTCCTTCATCGTTGTAGAAACGACACTTTCTTTGTCAGATCTGTGCTGCAGTGCCTCTCCTCTGGCGGTGTTTTGATGAAACTTAATCCACGGAGCCACTGATCCTTGCCATTAGGGATGGTGCCTCTGCTAGGGTGAAACGAAATTTTCATTAGTTTTAAAGTCACTAACTTCACTTTATAGAAAAATTATGAAGACGGTGAATAGTGTTTCAGCATTTCTGTTGGTATGCCATGCCATCCGGTGCTGGAAATAAGTAAGCTGGAAGGTATGACAGGAACTTCTATTATTTCACCACGTGGATCATGATTGCTACCTATTCATTTTCAAAACTTTTTAGTAATTGCTTTTCAATAGAAGTCTCATTTGATAACTGATTAACCGCCACACTCACTTTACTACTAATATTGTAGTTTTTCCTTACTGTGTAATATCTGTGTATGAGCGTATATTATTTTCTGCGATCTGCGTAATGAGTAAAGTTCACCTGAACCAAATTCATTCCATCCTGTAGGGATTTTCCTCCTATTGTTGGATGTACCCCGGATGTCGATTCGGAACAAGGTTTGATTTGAAAGGTTGTAATTTTCCGCCAATGACGTGTGTTTGATTCAAGGATGGGGGTTAACTTTTTGTAATACCTGGTTACTGTCGGTGTTCGAGTTAGTAATGCCCAGAAGCGAAGAAAACTTCAGATATTACACTGGATGCTTCCAAGAAATTATTCAGCCGATGATTACAATCGTGTGGGCACGGTGCCTGTGTTTCTTCTTTCTTTTTTGTGCATTACTTCAATATTGCGGGCTGGCGGGGATATATATAGCTAATACTAGTTTTAAAATCACATACTCTGCTCTACCATACCTACATACAAATCCGTTGGACTCGTTAACCGTTTCGGCACACTGCCACGCTCGACCCCTTTCCACCGAAGCCACGCAGAACCTGGCATGGGCATGAAGCTGCCATTTTATAGACGGGTACATCTACATGTTTAGAGACACGTAAAACTGCTGCGGTGTTGAATTATGCTTTGTATGGCTAGTTAATATGCTCACTCCTGCGAATTATACACGACATCTGGTGTAGCCAGCGAAATGGGTTCCACACATCGATGGAACTTCTTACCGCTTGGTAGGGCGTTCACCACTGCGGTTTCAGCTTTGAAGGCTTTAGAAGATTCATTCACGGACATATTTCAATCAAGATAAAATTCAAAACGCCTGTCGAAGTCCTTTAAAATATATCCCACTTTTGCAAAGAAATGGTTTGCAGTTAACGCAAAGATGCTCTGGAATATGGCGTCCGGCTCGAAAAGTGCGCTTCGGTGATGATTTAACTGGTCCCTTGCACGCCTGAATTATTTAGGGACGAAGAAATGGAACATTACTGCTTAAACGCCGATCAGCTGGCTGATGCGCCCTTCACGAGCATACCGGTAGGTAAACTGGCATTCGCAAACATCCATAGCTTCGCAGGTGTTCCAAAAAGGTGTATTGGCGTAATGTATCAAAAGACTTTGACGCAATGATAATACGCGATGATGAGAACACTTATCTAAGGTTGCTTCGTTGCCTGAAGTGACCTTATACATGACCGATAAGGCAGAGTTGGGTTTACCACTTTGTATTGACCGCGTAATGGAACGCACCAGAAGTAGGAAGCTGCGAACGGCACCCTTGTAGAGGGAAAATTGTAAATGTATAAAGAGTGACCTGGATTTGATATAATCTTATAGATAATTACCGGCCGGCACTGTGTTTTGTTTTTTCGACATATCGTAGTAGTAAATGCAACATAGCCAGTTTAAGTCGCCACGCACCCGAAAACGGATTTTGCTCACCAATTTAGGGAATTCAGAGACAAATATAATGTCAACGACATATGGCTAACGCTTTACTTTATGGATGTGTACGCCAGATTGCGGTCCCTGGCGCAGAGGTTCCAGGTTATTGTGTGTTGTTTTATAACTTGGCCTACACTACCGACTCACTCCTCTACACAGAGTTCGCCGAAGCCGAGGCCCGGCAGTACCTCTGCCGCGCATTTGAAAGTAGCGGGCGTTTGAGTCAAAGCTTAACAAAATCCATTTCAATATATTAACCTGCTTCTTTACTCTTTTATTCGCGGCGAGTCTACACATCGCGCTAAAGCATCTTTCATCCCAGAATGGAATTACTGGTTTCACTTCAGAAAATATCCCGAAAGGCATTGCGACACTGTTTCGATTTTGCGTAGCGATAACGTTTTGCCGCCAGAGTTTACCGGCGCGACTTTCCCGTACTTTAATCGATCTCGGTCAGAGCGGAGAACTTCGCTGCATTTTGGAACGTTATCTAAATGCTGTACATATCCATAAGACCTAACTGCTCGCGGATTTAATGGAAGAATCTCTGCTTGTATAACAAGCTCATAAAACCTTACATAGAAGAGCGCAGAAAGCTTTGCCAAGCGTTGAATTAACAGCATTGCAGAATCATAGAACAGATTGATAATAAAGAAGAGAAAAGTCCAGTCACATGATAGCCGATTAGCCTGTGGCAGTGATGTTATGTTAAGTCATTGTAATGCCGGAGTGTGCTTTTCGACTATGGACGATATGTTTCAATTCTGTATTTTTGAACGTTGTATAACATAGAAGGTTTGTATAGATTACGCAGAAAATATACTGGTGAATTGCGGGAAAGAGTGTTTTATTTTATGGCACGATCACATCTTTTGTGTTCATATATACCATTTAAATATTTGTAGTACTTATATTTCAGAATATTGTTTATTACTCACAGAGGAATTCAGCGCGATGGCGGCGCGACTGAGCCGATCTTGTTGCGATACCACCATGGGCTGATACATAGGCGACTTTGAACACATTCCCAGTGATGTTCCATCGATACTGTTTCCTATGACCAGGATGCTTAATAGGTATATGGTCGGTTTACTGTTTATGCTCAGAATTGACTTTTTGGGGTGAGTTAATATACTTGTACACACACGAAGGTACCAAATTCGATTACGATCCATGCCGCTTCACTGTTCTGTCACTGTATGTCACCAGCCTGCATATGAAATCACGCACCGTTGTACTAATGATAATGGGCAGGAAACGAGGATAATAATCCCCTGGCATACCCCAGATCTCTATTTGAAATCGACCATATTAGAGACTATTTTACGTTTTCTTCTATATATTTTACGTTTGGAGTCGCGGCCGGAACATTTATTGTTTTGTTAGTTTTTCTGGTTTTGTTTTGTTTATTTAGTTCCACTCTCAACCCGTATTCCAGTTCTTACGAAACCGCCGTCTGTAAATGGGAAAATCCGGACGAGATAATCCAGTGAATCAACGGCATGAAGGTGGATCTGCGCGTCTGGGATTCAATGGCTGTGTGTCCTTCATTCAGCCAGTCTGGTGCCGCGTACTACATACATTTCAGCTGCAACAAGCATAATGGATCGCTGAAGATCAGTCTTAACATGTATCTTCACCTTCATATATCCCTTTGGAGCAGCGTATCATGAAATATTGATCATTCTGGCTTTTAGAAAGCAGCTCAGGTAATGTGAAGTGGACAGAATAGTTTCCAAACCATGTATAACTGCTGTTTACCTCGCATTCTAAGTTGTTTAATATTAGTACTTATTATAGATATAATTCTGAGTTCCGTTTTTCAAACCAGATAGTCTTTTGTCTTGAGAGCATTGAAATACTTCGAGATGGAAGAATTATAAGGCTTTGTTTATCATCACAAAAACAAAGCTGCAGTTTTACCGCCGGTAAATATGCCAACACTTTCAAAACATAAAGTTGAGGTTA